GGTTCTTGCACCCTACGTGTGATGGCGCTTCCTAGAACTCAGCATATATTCGCTGTAATTTGGAGGTGTATGAATCCTTATTGAAAATTACACAGGCAATCCTAGGTAAGGTTGAAATAATTTTGTGACCTTGTTTGTTTTTATCTATGGTTTTATACAATCATTATGTCTCGCTGCTTATTTCTCAGGATTTTGTCTTAGTTTTGATTCCATATTTACTGTGAACAGCATCCCCCTTTGGTACAGCGCTTTAAGTGTTTGTTTTTAAGCATCAAACGTAGCTATAACTCCTTAAGAAAGGGCGTCCTGTGTTGAAACTCTGCCAAGTCAATGTGCCAGCAGCTGAAAGGAGTCAGTTTACCGAGTCAAAGGCGATATGTGTCCTGAAATATCTAAAAATATATGAACAAAAGATTTAGATATAAATTTACCCTTGATAAATTCTTAAATAGTTTATTTTTTTAGGCTTTAAATACTTTTGAATGACTCCCTCATTAAAAATGTGTTATATAACCTCTGCCTTTTCTTCTTCTTCTTTTACCTCCTGCAGCTAAAATAACGCAGATGTTATATACCACAAAGAATGCATCATCCTAGTTTTGCATCCTCTATCAGACTTTGAAATGCACTCTGGAAAGATTCCCACAGAGCCCAGCCAGCGTCGACGGCTTAAAAAAACCCCAGAGCTGTTGGAAATCCGTGTTCAAACTTCACCAAACTGTGCGCTCAGTTTTGCAATCTATGCTCACTGATTCCTCAACTGGTTTCAGTTTCTGCAGTCCTTGTGCAGTTTGATAAACTGAACTGTAATCTCTACCTGCAGATTACTCAGTGACATCTTTAATTTTTTATCTCAAAGTAACATAGATAAAGTCATAGTACAAGCTGTGATTTTTTTCATAGCAGTTTCTCTGTCTATATATGACAACAGATTGAATTTATAGCAGGTATGGGCTATATATCTTAGATCTCAACAAATGTCATTGATCTGAGCACACAGATGTAATGCACGACTATCTGACCCAAGATTCAACCAGGACAGGTCAGTGACTAGCTTTATTGAAGAAAAACCAGGGGAAGCATTTAATGTGCAGGACACGCTGCTGGTGCTTGGACAGGAACCCCTGGAGGAAGGCTTACAGACAGGCAATCTTGGAAAAACTGGGTAAAGTCAAGAGACAGATCTGATCAAGTTTCCATACAGGCAAAAAGAGGCAAAACAGGGACAGGAAGGCACGGTAACAGAAAGCAGATCAGGTTGGACAACAGACAGGCAGACAGGACTGCAAAAAGAATGGCTGGAAGGTTTTCACAGGTGGGTTCCAGACGATCTGGCACTGCTAGCTGATCTGAATGGGGCTTATAAGCAGGTGGAAACAGGTGAAGCCAGTTTAGAGTTGATTGCAGGTGAGGTGAAGCTGAGCAGGAGTGCGGAGTGAACAAATAGGCCAGCCCCAGTGCAACCATTATTACCGTACAAGAAATTACAAAATCCAGAGCATAGTTTAAAACTGGCTTAAATCTCACTGTTTATACGTCAAAAGAGACACATTGTTCAACTTCCTGTCAGTGCACCCGGTGCATTCCAATTCATTGAGTATATTTCAGATTTAACATTATCTGTTAGTGGTATTATAGGATATCTTTAACCAGCAACAATGCATAGAACCCCATGGAGAAATGTTTACATTTGTATTTCACAGATGGTTCCCCCATTTGCCCTCCCAAAGATTTTAACAATCAGAACTTATTAAAATAGAACTAAAACAGGTTCACACTTGATCGGTTTTACCAGTCCTAAGAAAAACATAAAACTCAAACTTGAAGAGTTTTGAATTGCTCTGTTTTTCATAAGTTTTCAGGCTCCGACTTGATGAAGTCAAAAATGATGAAGAGGGAAAGGAGACATAAATGGGAAAAAGTTCAAACACATGAGCCCACACCCTCAAACACACACTGCATCCTTTCAGAACATCTGTCTGAGTCACATCTGGCAGATTCGGGTTCATTCAACGTTGACACTAACACGTTTTCTTCCACACAACACATTCTGATAAAGTCTGCTTGCTTAATGGTGAAGGCTAAATGCTGCTTTATGCTCCAGCAGAGCCAGAGTTGGTCCTGTCTACCTTCTAGCTGCATATAAACCTCTTCAGTAAGTTTTATAGTGTCCAAACAATCCTTACTGATGTCAGATACAGGAGGAGATCATCAATGATAAGATGTTAGAACTCTGTGTTTGAGAAAACCTGCATGGAATTGTTTTTATAGAGGAAGTCGATCGTTGGGGGTCTATGGAGACAGAGCTTGGAACATTTTCCAATGGAATACCAGAACACAGTTTATACCATTGAGAAGATCTGAAGTAACACAAAATAGAATAAAAGCTTGAGTAAACCAAGCACATATGCTGCAATCATTCATTAATGTCACTCTCTGCACTTTTGGCCAATGGCAAAACCCACCAGAGCAAAAACCCCAAACCAAATGACCCCAAAAGAGCTGCTAATTCATCACAACATGACCGAACCTCTGCAGAATACAACTAATGAGCCAATTCCATCACTCTTACCCAGAATACTTTGCTTTAGACCTTCGGGGCTCCTCAGTTACCACTTAATTATCTCATTACTTAAATTTCTCTAATTTCCTCAGCATTAGGAGAATAGTTATAGATTTTTTAGTGCAAAACACGAATAGAAGTGGAAAAAAAAAGTTAAGAAAAGTTCAGATTTAGATTGTTGGTAAGGTCAGACTGCAACTTCTAGTCAGAATGATAACATGGAGCTATCTATCCCTACCTTTATCCTTCTCATTGCAAAGCCAAACTATCTCCAAACATTAGCTTTCTGCATGGGGAACATACATTTATGTGATGTAATGAAAGACTTTTAAAAAATACACAATTAGAATAAATCATAAAGGGGATTCAGATTTATTTCTATTTGTCATGCATCTCTGAGGTTTATTACTAATTGTAGAGCCTTGACACACCATTGTGAGCTGTACTCCTGTGTGGGATGACCTTGTTTTTCCATCCGGAGGCTGAAACCCTGGTACATTTTTATCTAGAAGGTCGTGCTCGGTCTGCTGCACTCCCACATCTGTAATTTGATCACACAGAGAAGTGTTGACTCTTATTCTTTGTGTTTAAATTATAATGTATTGCTCTCTTTTCCATTTGCCTGCTCAGAGCTGGGGAAAAAAAAAAAAAAAAAACTTTTGTTCACTCTGCTCCATCTCCACAGAAAAAAACTTAAAAGACTGAAAACTGACTGATTTTATTACACTGAACACTTTTAAGTTCAGACTAAGAGCAACAGAGAAAACCTCCTTAAACTGTAATTGTTTATAAATGTATGTTAATTGTAATGTACAGTAAGTTTTGGTGCCATTCTTGGCCAGGGCTTTCCTTAAAAGGAGGATCTTAGTCTCAATGGGGAAATCCTGGTTAAATAACAAATAAAAATGATATAAATATTCCAAAATATTAAACAGGAAAAAAAGCAGCTTCTAAAGAGATCAAAAGGTACATGCTCGTTAAAAAAGTCTACTTGACAATAATGTAATTGTGGATATTCTTCCATCTTTTCCTTTGTGTTAGTATTTATTTATATAAAGGTCTTCACACAATACATTATAATTTCATTTTATTTTTGTGGTGTTTTTTTTTGGCATTAGGTTGTTTAGGGTGATAAGGGTGCACACATTTAGTAAACACCTTTTGTTTATTTGAATTAACTACTTTTCTTTGCTGAGTTTGAAGGACTGGCTGAGCGGAGAGGACTGGTTGAAAGGCAAACCAGGAAGTGGGACGTACCATCAGGCTGCTGGAAGCAGGGGACTGGATGTTAGAGTCTGCTTCTCTCTCTCCACTTATGGCATAACTGTTAAAACATTTTTTGGTGTTATGTTGTTTTCTTTTGATAGTTGTGTTGTAGTCATAAGGTGTTAGTTGAATTAGTTATTTATGTTTATGCATTGTTTGTCTTTGTCTCATCTCCCACCCCTCCTTGTTGTGGTAGGCTAGCCTTTGTGTATAAATTCCCCTGTGTTCATTGGGGGAGGTCAGTTTTTTTTGGTTTGTTATCCTGAGTTAGGGATGCCTTAGTTGATTTCCTTTGGGCACATTTTGGTATATTTTTTTTTAGATTTGATGTAAGTCTTTCTGTGAAGATTTTTTTGGAAATAAATAGAACATACTTTTTAATATGCCTTTGTCTTTGTGCCTTACTGGACGGACCACCACAGTAATGAAAAGATATAAACTAATGAAAAAGTAGATGAGCCCCCACTGGTTTTCATACATCCATCCATTTTCTGTCTCACCTATCACAAGCAGGGGTGCTGTGAGGGGTGCTGCTGCCTATCTCTAGTTGTCTATGGGCGAGAGGCGGGGTCCACCCTGGACAGGTCACCAGTCCATCGCAGGGCAACACAAAGATAAAACAGGACAAACAACCATTCATACACACTCAGACCTAAGGAGAATTTAAAGAAGCCAATTAACCTAACAGTCATGTTTCTGGACTGTGGGAGGAAGCCAGAGTACCCGGAGAGAAGCCACGCATGCTCAGGGAGAACATGCAAATGTCAAGCAGAAAGACCGTGAGCCAGGAATCGAATCCAGAACCTTCTTTCTGCAACGCAGCAGTGCTACCCACTTCTCCATTCCTCCATTCAGCCACCCCACAGGTTTTAATTGAACTTACTTTAACTGATATTTAAAGTACTTCTAGGGATGTTTTTACTCTTGTTTTTTATTATAAAATAATTTAAGGATGACTTTCATGAATATCTTTAGATTCAAATGGAAACTATCAGCATTTCCATTAACATGTATCCTAATCAGTTGATTTGAAGAATTTCGATGACATGTCGCTCTGTTCTTATATGTTCAGCCCTCTGAGGGTCAGACCTCAGGTGGATCTGATTCATCATCATCAATGCTGAACTCTTTAATAGCTCCGACATCCTGGAGGTAAATAGAGCAAACTCACCAGCAGCCTCAGGTGCTCGGTCTTTAACTCTCGATCCTCATAGAGCTCCTACTCATCGACAGCCTGCAGAAAGAGAAACGTAAAGGCAGCCTTTAATTCTGATGTTGTTTCCAGGGTGATTCCACTTGAGAAATGAAAACCAAAAAGCATTCAAAGTGAGGCACGCCACAGTGGTCGGCATATTCAGCAGGAGTTCAAGGACATGGCTGCGTTGACTGGAGCCAAAGGGGGAGGCGGGGTGCTGGAAGGGATATGGGTCAATGATCAGCTCCAATTTGTTTATAAGTCAGTTAATTAGATGCGCCATCGTCCGCTGAGAGGGATCATGGATAAAAACCACAAACATTACAAACACACAGATGTGCCTCAGGAAAAAAACAGTGTGGAGTAATTTGCAGCTGAGAGTCCAATGGTAACAGATGGTGGGCTGCAGAGAAGCAGGAGGAGAGAGGAGCCGTAACACTGAGGCTGACTTAATCTGCAGATTAACCCAGGATCCACAGACATGTTTCAATCTTCATGCTTATTCTCTGATCATCATCCAGAAGATATTTTTATGGGGTTTGGTTATTCCTCTTTTCCTTTTTGGTTATTTATTTCTTATGTTTTGTTTTTTATTTCCTTTTTCTGTATGTTGGTTACCTCTGATCATCTTTAGCTTCATTTTGTTGGATCTTTTGTGACCTCCATATTTGTTTTTAGTCAACTTCCCTTAGTTTTTCTCCTCAGGTTCTTTCCCAATTATTTATATTCTCTTGTTTTTTAATTCACATAGAGGTGCATCCAGAACAATATGAATATTTAAAAAGATTGGATGTTTTTACCTTCTCATTTCTGAAAGATAAACATCATATATTGTATATATTCATAACACATACAGTGAAATGCTTCAGGTTTTAATTTGTGCTGATTATTTGATGACCATGACTTATAATGAATAAAAAAAAAACAACAACAGTGACATCCCAATCAGCTGATTAACTTAAAAACACTGCATATGGTTCCTGAGAATTTCTCCCAGTCGGGTTTAGTGACTGACATCATGGGGAAGACTGCTGACTGGACAGACGTCCAGGAGACAGTCTGACTTCCTTCACAAGGAGTGGAAGCTGGAATAGATCATTGCTAAAGAAGCTGGTGGTTCATAACTAAGAATAACTGTAGAACATTAAGTACAAGGAGAACTGTTGTAGGAAAATAAATGTATCTGCAACAGAGTTAAGCAGGGCATACTGTACACTGGAAGATTTTTTGTACTTTTCGGGCCGACTTTCCAGTCGTGCAACAATTTTTCTGTCGGGCCGACTTTCAGCCTGATCGTGCATCGTGTAGTGTACAGGGGGTAACGAGGGGCGATCAGCAACTCATGACCACCTCCCGATATATGTGAACGCAGCAGGCAATTCTAAATTTATAAGATATATATATATTTCAGTCATCATTCTATTATTGTGCTATTGCTATTGTGCTCAGCATTGCAAAATAAATGTAGAAATTTGTCTCCTCATTAATCTTCTATGTCTGTTTAAAAGGCAGTAGGGTCCACTTGCAGATTATGTGATGCAAAATAAAGTTTTTCCATTACAGTTTATGTTTTAATTTATATAATATGTGATTTAAACAATATTTTTTGCCACCCAAACGAAGTGTAAAAACTTTTTATTGAAAAACTTGTTTTTATTGCAGTGTTCTCATTTAGCGTATTTATTTTCATAATTACAATTTGATTGTTAATGGAAACGTAACCATAGTCAACATAAAAAAAATAACTGTATAATGTTTGTGATAAGCACACGGGCCAGACCAGAACCTCCTAGAGAATCTATGGAGTATTGTCAGAATAATGACTATAATTTAAGTAACCTGGGCCTCCATTGGACCTCAGCAGAACCACAGCCTGATCTCAATGCTGCGCTGCACTGAAGCAGGAATTAATTCAACAGGAGCCCAAACAGAGTACTGTTCATAAAAATAAATATACCTTTTAAATTAAAATATTAGCATTTTTAAAGATGCTCATTTGGGTTTGTATTATCTGGAAGACACTGTATTTCACTGTATTTCATTAAATCCACACACTCCCTCTAATCAGAGAGTTCCAGAGCGCCTTAATGAGGGAGTAAGAGGAGGCTGAGTGCAGATTCACTAGCAGCATTTTCCCATTTGATCTGATCCAGCTATGTATATTAATTTGGCAGAAAAATGCTACAAGACAGATCACAAAAATGTTCTGCCATGGGGCCAAAGAGATCTGTATCTTTTTATGAGGTGGAGGAGTTTAAAAAATGCTCTTGATACCCTTTCAGCAGAGATAAAAACAATTGCGAAAGACAATTATGATAAACACAGAAAAAGATTAAGAAATTAGTTCCAGGGTGCAATCTGGAACAGAATTCCTGAAAGAACAAGATGCAGGCAGGCTTAGATCATATGCCAGGGTGACGGCCAAAACGCCGAGGGTGGAGCTGAGGACACTGACACCGAAAGCCAGTCACTGCAGCAACAAGGATATGAGTTTGGACAGTAAAGGAATCACTGCTGTCAACAATGATGTCCAAGCCTGCCACATACTGTCCGGTAAAAATAAAAACATGCTGCAGACAATTGTCCTTCATTTTACAACCAGGAGAAAACCTAAAGGCACGGACATGTAAATCAATGAACATCTAAGAACAATGCAGACATTGCTATTAAAATGTGTGCGTTGAAAAAACTTAAACAGATAGAAGAAATTTGCACATCAAACTGTTTGATTAACATAAAACTGTATAGATCAACACCAGAGGAAGCAAAGGTACACGTCATGCATGACTATTTCCTCCTGAGCAATGAAAATCTGTTTTTGTTGGTTCTTGGTGCAGTATATGCTTTGCACGGACTGCTGCATTAGCCCAGGGTGGCCTGGAAATGTTTGGTCCGTAGATGCAAAAAGTAAAACAAAATGCTGACTCATCATTTTGCAAGAAAATTGTTTTATAAATTCTGCATGAGCGAAAAGCTGAGGTATTAAACGATGAGCAGAATAACTGAAGGACTTCAACTTTATGATGTTATCAACAACAGAGATACATGTTGTTTGCCTACCAGTTTACATGCAAAACATTCAAAATATAGCTGCACTAATACAAGGTTTAAGCCTTCTTGGAAACAATCCCAAAAGCTTTGCTCTTCTAACCTTTGAAGGTTATTTGATCCTTTTCAGCCTCAATGCTGGAGCTCAGTCTAATGAAACACATTCTAGATCTCTCTGGAGGCTGGGTTTGCAATTATGAGCATCACAATTTAGCCTCAATTTACTTTTCAGAGAATCTGTCGAGGAATATTGATTTCCAGTCATGTGGTTTGGCTTCGTAATTGTTGATAATATTAGCAGAAGTAAAAGAAAGCATCTTTTACTCATGACAAAGTGCTTTGCTGCCCTCAGGGGCATCTGGTAATGTGTTCAATGAGAGCTAAACCTTTGTGACAGACTCTAATCAACATTAGATTTCCTTTCTAACCTCCTCATTCGTCTCTCTTCTGATGTAAAGGTCTCAGCTAAAGGTTGACAGCAGCACATTATTTACAGAGACATTCGTCAACTAAAAAGATGAAGCTGAACTCTGGAAACTCTAATGACTGTGGACTTTCACACTTTTATTACTCTAGTGGGCAACATAAAGCACTTCTCATTACCGTTACTACAATGACCTCAGTCTCCTCTTTATCTTCACAAAACACATCTCCACATCTTCCACACTTGGAAAATGTGCTAATTTTAAAGTTTTTGTTATATGAACTATGGCAAATGGAATATAAAGCATCAGTTAATAGAATGGAATAGAATAACCAATAACCCTTATTGCCTCACAGTTGGAGCAAGTAGGAGAAAATTTACTAAAAAAAAGAAAATTACTTAATGTAAATCTAAAAGATTTGCATAAAAACCGCAACAAACTATTTACAAGTAAATAGAAACTATTGCACATTCAGGAAAGAAATTGAATGTAAATTCAGCTTGTTGGGAGCAGTGGGAGCTATATCAGCTACTGGGAGGAAGGATCTGCAATAATTCTTTTGCACATAGGAAGTGACAGTATATCATGGAGGAGCTCTCCATGCATGGAGCTGTTGCATGCATAGTTTCTGCAATAAATGTTATTTTTGCTATGTAGGACATGATGTGGGAGCACTGCTCAATATTACATCTTATTCTATCAGATAACTTAAAAGGAGATGCTTACATTTTGTTTTGTAAAAATAGTGCAATAAAATGTAGGGCCTAATCTTTCAAAGACAAAGATGCAATGATAGACGATGGAGAAAAGGTCTGTCTGCATCTGTACATATTTGGGCAGTATATTATCCGGGAAAAAGATGTCTGGACTGGACAGATTTAAAAGACACAAACACTAATAAACCACAACAAAAAAACACCATGAAGGAGCTTAATTATTGTGGCAATCTGTAATGAAGTGAAATGTCCATTTAATTATATTAAATAAAAAATATATTTGTTTCAAACTGAGTTTGTGTTTTAAACCATTAACTTCACTTTACCTAGAATTAAAAATCCCCTCACATGGAAACAAACAACCAAAGCAATTAGTTGCCAAATAAAAATGTACTTCAAGTAAAAAGTAATAGAGGCAAATCACCACGTTATCACTGACCTGAACCTGATGTCATGGGCTGACTTTTAAAAAAATGCTGCAACACCATGAGTAAGGTTGTTATTATAATTATACTAAATGTTTCAGAAGAGAAATGTGAATAAAGAAGCAATGTGGTTTTCTCAGATGTTGAAAGGAGACAATTTTATAAACTCACAGACGAATCAGGTCCTTAGGCTTGTTAACAATCAATAATGGGATAAGGTCTCTCTGGCTCATTGCTGCATAATGAGCTTTAAATCCTGTCTCTGTGGTCAATAAATCAGGTTGGACCAAAGGGAAATATCAGATCAAACCAAAGCATTCTATTTCTACTATTATTTTGAATTTGTTAATCATATTTACTTTGTGGAAAATTGCATATTTTTACTTAATTCAAATGAAAAAGATTAGAATTAGAGCTGAAAGAGA